AATTTGGGAAAAAAAAACAATTTTAGGAAGAAAATAACTATCTGGGAGTAGGGCAAATGGCTATTTTAGCAGGCCAAGTTGCCATTTTAGGGCCAAATCACCTGTTTTTGTGAGGAAATTACCACTTTCCGCTGACAAAAAGTGTTTTGAGAGAATAGATCAAAACTAGAAAAACACAAACATTTTTTGCAAGAAAAAAAGTTTTTTGAAAAGGAAACGAACCATTTCTAGGAAGAAAGTAACCATTTTGAGAATAAAACATGCGTTTTGGGGGAAACAGACATTTTGGGGGCAAAATATGTGCTGTTTCTGGCAAATTATCTGGGGGAAAGTAGCCATTTGGGGCGAAACCAAAACTTTGCTGCAGAGTCCGCCATTCCGGCACAGAATCCACCGCTTTGGGGGATAAAATACGCATTTTTCTGAAAAAAAACCACATTTTAGGAGGAAGAAACCTGGTTTTGGAGAAAAAAAATACCACTTTGGAGAAAAAAAATGCCATTTTTTTGAAAAATCCACCGTTTGCGGAGAGGAACAGCCAGTTTGTGACCGACACCATTGTTGCACACCATGTCAGCGCAGGGGCTATGGCTTTCTGGAAAAAAAGGCGCTTTGGGGAAAAACAGCCACTTTGAAAATAAAAGAACAATTTATAGCAAAACAAAAGTTGTTTGGAGAAAAAATGCCATTTGGAGAAATGAATGGCTGATTTGCCGCAGAAATCAATACTTTGCGGCAAAATTCTGCGTTTTAATGCAGAATATATTACTTTGAGAGGAAAAAAAGGAGGTTTTGAGGAGGAAAAAAGCCGTTTGGGGGGAAGGAAGCTCCCACTCTGGGGGGTCAAAAACCACATTGCAGGAAAAATACTCACCTCGCTGGAAAAAAGGCAATTCTGCAGGGAAAAAATGGTCATTTTTGGAAAAAACCCACCACTTTGTAGCAGAAGCGAAGAGCTTGTGGCAGAAACTACCGATTTGGCGCTGAACCGGCCACTTTGGTGGGGAAAAACTGCTGCTTTGAGGGAAAACCTGACGCTCTGAGGGGGAAAAAGCTGACACTTTGGGGTGAAAAACTGACGCTCTGAGGGGAAAAAGCTGATGCTTTAGGGCAAAAAAACCGACACTCTGAGGGGAAAAACCTGACGCTTTGGGGGGAAACCCGCCCTTTTCGCAGCAGCAGATCCCTTTGGGGCAGCCCGGCCAGCCAGGGGTGTCCCAGGCTGCTGTTTTGGGCTGAAAACGGGGCGTTTTGGAGGGTCACCCTCCCCGGCCCCCCCTCCTGAGGAAACAAACCCCTCTTCGGGGGCTGCCCCCGCCGGCACTGGGCGGGGGGGGATCACAGCACCGTTCTGAGGCCAAACCCCGCGCCGGGGAGCTCGATTTCCTCTCAGACCACCCATTTTTAGGGCCGAAATCCCCTTTTTCGGGACAATACCGATCCACACCCCCCTCCCACAGACACCAGTCCCCCCCACCGCCCCAAACCCCCCGTTTCGGGCCCAAACCCTGCCAACCCTGGGCTCCCCG